CATCGTTCATCGACAGCTTTCGTAAGCAGCCGATTTATCCTTACTACTCACAGACCGCTTGCAATCGTACACGTTCGTATCAGTACGGCGCATCTCGCATCCTATAGCACAGTCACCTTTATTTGTTTTGACGACTTTTCACCGCGTGTAGTTTTCCGCAAATTAAGATCAACTATTTTTCATCACGGTTAAGTTCCATTTTTCAATTTCTCTGGAAGTAACTTTTACACTACCGGTACCGGTACACCCTCCGGATAATACATACCGCAGCATTATATCCAATTTCCGGGTGTGAAACGCGTAGTATTTTTAAAATAAGTATATGGTGCAATTCTTTTCCTCACAGGATAATGAAATAAAAGAGAAAAAGCAAACGAGCCGGTTGATTTCTGTCAAAGAAGGACTGCAAAGTTTCACAAAGGTGATGGAATGAGCGATGTACACACCCATTCCGCCGATGATCATTCTCTTTCGAGAGGTTACCGCCATTAGTGACGAACTCCTTTGCAATATATGAAGCATTGACAGATATCGCTTTGCACATTTGGAGAGAATCGATGCCAGGAAATCTATCCTGGCGCAGCCAGGATGACACAGTGTCACAGTGTGGCGTCTTACGACGCCATAGAAAGCATGCGTTGTGTTATTGTAGGCTGGAGAGTCTCAACATCGCGGATCGTCTCCTTTTTTCCCCTTTTCTTTTCTTTTTTCCTTTCCTTTTCTTCCTTTTCTTCTCTTTCCCCTTCTTTTCCCCCCGGACTAGTATAATATGCTCCACCAGCATGAAATAAAAACCACTGCAACCCTTGTTTCAAACCTATCTGAGATAAGTTTAAAGGTAGGACATGTCACTTCCTGCCTACTTGCAAGATGACGAAGATGATGAAGACGCTGACTTCATCCCTGGGGTGGGAGATGAGGATGAAGATTTCAGAAGCGACGACGACGACGAATCATCTGAAACGGACAATGATGAGATTCCCCCTTTTCTACAAGGCTTTTTGGAGGCAGATCCAACAAATCAAACCATCATTTTCAAGGATAACGAATCCTTTTGTCTGAGCTCTGAATCTCCGACAGGATCAGGATGGAGTATACATGATCCGCTGCTACCCAGACCTGTCACTTTTACTGGTTGGATTGGTGATCCGGACAAATGCATCGACTTCAAAGTACAAATATTGGAAATATCGGAACAAGCTGTAGACACTTTGGATGAAAAGCTTCTGCAAGCGCAGCACGAAAAGCTACAATCTGAACTCTTAGGTGGAAAGAAAATGGCTGCGTCTCCAGCCAGTGTTGATCAAGATCAAAAGGAAGCAGCACGTCCAGCCATGTGTCAACCGGTAAAGAATCTACCCGCTACGAAACAAGGATCAACATCGAGGGGAGAATCAAAATTACATACATTTTCCATCGTGGGATCAACATTTCAAAAATCAAAAGTCGTCAGTTTTCGAGGCGTCTTTCGTCCACCGACAAATACTGAAGATGCATCTTCATTGTTCCTTATCTGCACAACAAAGGTCGAGAATGCAGCAGTTGCTACCCCCAGTAATGGGACTGCAACAGCCGCAAAACGAAGACGCGACGATGACAGTGACAACGACAATTATAATTCTGGAAGAATCAAGGTCGATTATCAAGAGCTGATTGAGTTGCACGAGGATGCAATGCTCCACCAGCAATAGAGACCCTAGTCCGAAATGGAGGCGATTATTTTTCTCTGATGAATGTGAGGGATGAATGCAGTGGGACTATTGCTTGCCTTCGTTGGCGGATTTCCTGCGTGAGAACGGTTTTTGTGCATGTGGCTTGAATTAGAAACTCGATGAGAATGAAGGCGTCAATCTCGTTCTACTCGTATCATTTGTCACACAAATTGAGATTTTGTAGGTTTGCTATCGAAATGGCGATGTCACAAAGGTGGAATTGTGCAGATATTGTCAGTGCAGAATTTAAGCCGACTCGTTACATGTGAATTTACTAGTCATCGTTTTTTATTACTGTTTCGCTTGAAAAGTCTAGCAACAGAGGCAGCTACCTGCTAGACGATGTCACCCCTCCTTGTTTCGCTGCATAATACTTTTTTCGAATAGGTTTGACCAAAACTTCAAGAGGTTCCACCTCGCGCTCAGGGAGGAGACCAAATTCAGTACAGAAGAACATAAAATGCTTGAAACATGAGTTCAAATGGGGGGCCATATCTAGCGCCTCCAAAGTCCCAAAGAAACTAGAATAGATGATCCCGTATACCCGAAATAGCCTTCTGAATATCTGACCGCAAAGTGCAGCAAATTGAGGGGTTTGAAACACGCGCAATGCTTCAGTTTCATCATCGTCATCAGGGAATCTTGTTTCATCGTTGATTTGATCAGCAATCCATCCTAGGACTTTTTCAATATATACTGGCGCTGATACCGATAGGGCTTCTCCGGGGCCATCCGACCATCTATATTCCACACCAGACGGAAAGCCTTCACCTGGCCTAAAAGAATTCAGGTATGGGTCCGAGGACATGACGGCCCATATTGTGCTAACATCATTGTAGAAATCAACGGCATGAACAGCCACCCATGCAGCACAAGATTCACCGGGCGGCAGGGCAACCTTGCAAGGCGTAATTTAGAAGAAAAGGAGACAAAAATGACTCATTCTCGTTTTGCACGTTTCAAACATCTTACCGCATCATTGTAACTACCTCCAGCTCCCAAAGTTCTCTTCGTGTACGCATGAAGTCTCTCCCTCATCGTACCACTCCGATGACGGAGTGGTTGAAATGTGCCAGTCGACGTTGGGGGCATGGTTAAGGTTGAGAAATGCTTGACACAGTATTCTGAAGAAAGACGAAATGAAGAATGAATAATGTTCCCTTTGTCCCTCCAATGACCGCTGTGAAATAATACTGCCGTTGGAAAGTCGTTAGAATCGACGGCCAGACGAAACTTGTTTCCTCCATTGACCACTACCGGTACAGTAAATCTGAGAAATTTGACCTCAAATTTTCTTCTTCAGGGGAAAAAAAAATGGCTGTTGCGATGCAAGTGGAAAGCAACCAGTCCTCCAGTGACACATATGTGGAGTTTTCATCGAATGCTACAACTATAAACTCTGCTGTGATACAATCTCGCATCCGTCAGTCAGTGTCCTTGCAGCAACAAGATGCCGAAATGGATGCTGAGGATTCGCAACCAGTTTTCCCCAAGCTTTCTGCTGCCCAAGCAGCTGGAAATAAGATTGAATACCGAAGAGTGAGATGTCCCAATCATAGATACACTCCGCTTCGTGAGCATTGGGAACAGATATTGACTCCTCTGGTTGAATACTTGAAATTGCAGGTGAGAAATCTCGTTCGTTGTTCGTGTAGCAAATGGGCTGAAGAAGATACATCCAGCAGATAACAGATAGAGAACTGTGTTGTTCTTGGAACTTCAAACCCTCCAGGAAGCCTCAGCGCATCTAAGATTGAAATGGAACGATCATGTCGTAGTCTGAAGCCCATACATTATATCCCCCCTCCTGGCCAATACTATCTCTCTTCTGACCCCTTGCCAATACAATCTCTCCACTCTGACTCTCTCTTCTGACAGGTACGCTTCAATACAAAAACAAGAAGCGTAGAAATGAAGACCTCGCACCATACTGCTGATGTGGGTGCCTTGCAGAAGGGAGCAGACTTCGTCAGTGCCTTTATGATGGGGTTCGAGGTTCAAGATGCAGTCGCTCTTCTGAGAATGGATGACCTCTATGTCGAAAGTTTCCAGGTGACGGATGTCAAAATGTTGAAAGGGGACCATTTATCACGTGCTGTCGGCCGAATTGCTGGACAAGACGGAAAGACACGGTTTGCAATCGAGAATGCCACAAGAACACGAATTGTGATTGCCGATCAACGAGTCCATATGCTTGGTAGCTACGCCAACTTACGGGTTGCTCGAAACGCAATTTGTGATTTAGTCCTTGGAGCGCCGCCGGGAAAGGTTTACAATAACATGCGCAACGTTGCCAAACGGATGAATGAACGGTATTAGAGTAAATTATTATTATTTGCAAGTCACCCATTCGACTGGTTCGATGTCTGCAACAAAGAATATCAAAACCATAGGCATTTACCATTGGGTCTCCCCTTTTGTTGCACTTTGTAGAATAAAATGAGTATCCTGGAGGGTCAGAGTAGTAGCCTAGCAAGACTTCTTTCAGTATATTGTTGGCTTTCTTCCATGCAAGCTTGTTGAATAGCGGTTTCTTGCTTCTTGAGTCAATCATGTTACCAAAAGAAACAAAAACAGCTCGGATCCTCCAGTAGAGCAACCTAGGGGGTAGGATCCGTCTTCTGACGCATGCCTTCCAGAAGGCCGGATTGAAATAGATGTCTGCGTCTATCTCGTTATCAGTCTTTCCGTCTTTTTCCTTTACTGCGCTCTTCACCTCTTTGAGCTGATTGGGATCAAACTGAAGAATGGCATCGCGGAGTGCTACAAAATAGGTCTTTTTGGCCTCATGTTGCATTGGAACTTTTGCTCGATCCATTACATGGAAGGCATCACCAACAACAGCTGAAAACCAATCATTGATTGTGTCTGGAGTTGGGGCCGGTTCAAGATGTGCACAAGTCAACAGGTTATGCCCCAAAGCTGCTTCCTCGCCAAGAAGACACACCTTGCGAAGTAGTGTCACATCATCATTGGATAAATGAACAGCTTCAGCATCAGCATCGTTATCCAATAGATCCATTCCAGTTGGTCCAGTACTGTCTTCCTCCTCTGTGGAAGTATCATCTTGATTAATCACTTGGTGTTGCACAGTCCTCGGTGACGGCGGCGGTGCTGGTGGAGTAGTAGTCCTTGTTGTTCCAGTGTCATCATTCATATTCGGGTAAGTTCGGATATCATCAGATTCAATGTGCTGCTTCAACATGGTCAAAGGTAGAATGACAAGGAATGGAGGAGCCCCAAAGTCAGCAAGACAAACAGGCTCACCACTTTCTTTCTTCACATATGGCACTATGTAATGTGGTGCGAGGACAGAGAGTACATCCACAACACGGTATCGACCTCAAGTCGAAATCTGGCCAGTGTTGAGTCGCATACCAGATGGCACTTCCCATTCACGAAAGGATTGTTCTGTCAATGTGGCACTTCCGCACCTAGTTGCAACCATACTAGTAGGTCCTCCGCGAAGTGGTGCAATATCAACGCAAAGACCAACTTTTGCTTCCTTCTCTGATAGCCGGAGGGAAAGGTCTGGTTTCTCCCGTAGGTAGAGATAAACCTCAAGTGACTTGATCCCGTCCAGTGCTGCATATTGCTTTTGGTCTTGTGATAATGAAGGATCTTCCCATTTGCTTGAGACACGAACTGCAGCTTGCTTCTTCATGGTTTCCTTTAAACAAATCTGAACTAGAACGTCCAATCTCACAGTGCCGCTCTGGACAACATCTCTTTCTCTTGCATACCGCCCCAAATTCACTATTAAAACCTTCTTCATCTCATCTTCGCATTTATAGTCACGCCCTAGTCTTCTAATGTCCCCACCAACATGGTTCCCAACAAACTTTGTTCCTCCAACCAAGAAATGAAGCAAGCGATCCGGAAGTGAAGAGAGCTTATGAAGTCTCAATAGAGCAGCCATGTGACGCCCGCCACTGTCTTTGTATGCCAAAATTAGTAGCGCAAGCTTTCCAGTTCGCATTCCCATTCCATGGCTTGCTGTGAGGACATTCCATTCTGCATCAAGCCCTATTACTCGATCCTCTGGTGGTTTGCCTTGGATGTTTTCTTCGAGTGCTGTGATGAATTCGTTGATAGCACCTTTGCTTGAAAGCACACGAATTTGAGTGTCATCGACTGTGCACGTGTTTTCTTTATTGATGTCATTTTCATTGGGCATTGTTCCATCCGTCACCATAATATCAAGCCGACCTTGAGCTTCCAACAAAGAGGGAAAAGTGTCCAAGTAAAAGTGCCGATCAGCATGTACATTGTCAGTGAACACAAGCTCCAAATCATGTTGGCCGTATGATTTCACTGTATTCAAGAAAGCAAGCAGAGACGGCCGAAACTGTTCATGATCATCAGTGACAACGTGAAATTGCATCCGGATTTCCCCAATTTCGTTGGTGATAGTAATCAGGCCCTTAAAAAGATTCTGCCCATGATACTGACAAAGATGTTTTGGTTCTTTGTAACTGGCATCAACGCTAATAAATTTGGCGCCCCTTTTCTTTACTTCGTTGTCGAGAAAGTCCTTGATGGTACTGTGAAAGGTCTTGTATACGTGCATCAGATACCTTCCGGTTGGGACCAATCCATTGTACTTTGTTTTGTCCCCAAATTCTGAAAGCATAGGCTTCTGATGAACATTGCCAGTCTTTGCTAGTCCCCATTCATGTTTTAGACATTCCTGATGATACCGCTTTGCATGCAGTTCCAGAATGGTGTCTGCAAGGGCCCCAGGCCGTAGGCCTTTATCAAAAAGAGGGCGCATCATGTCCAGAAGAAGGCGATCCACTCCAGACCGATGGGTCAAAAATGCAGGGAGCTCTTGACCAATACCATGAGGGTACAGCTCAAGTGTGTTACGATTCCATGCCATGAATGTATACTGTGACTTGTCTATTGCTTCGTCTGAGAATTGGATTGCAATATTGTTTGCAGCAGCACTTTCTTCAATTGCTATCTTTGCATCTCTTGCCTTCTGCTCGCAGTTTTTACATCGATACCGTCTTGAAACACAGTAGTAGTCATGATCTAGAGCAACTACTCTGCGCCCAAAATGGTTGTTGCGGAAGCCATTATTCCCAACAGATTTGTTTGAGCCACAGTTGCCACATGCCGGCATGCAAGTTGGACCCCATCTAACATCAGGCAGCCAAACATAAACTTTTCTGAAGTATGCCACTTCTTTTTCTTCCTTTTCGAACTGGATAGCAAGCTTCTTACAGATGAAACTGTATTTGTGTTGAGGGATCCACCAGTCATTGCTTTTCAGAATGTCAAGGAGCCACGTTTCTCCAGTTATGGGAAATTTGTCTGAAAGCTCATGGATGAGCCGTTTTTGGATGGCTTCAAGATACCGGCGCATGATGGTCCGCTCAGTTGCTTTCTCCGTATTGAGATCTTCGTCAACCAACTCTTCATCATCAAGTATGTCAAGATTCGGAAATATTGGCATGCTGTCATGTTGTTCAACAAACTCGGGAGGAGGCTGCTCCACCACCTGCTCCACCAACTGCTCCACCACTTGTTGATTAGTATTTCTTTCATCTTCATCTTGAGAATGTTGAGCTACCTCGGCTTCAGCTTCCGGTTGTCGAGTATTGGCGTACAAGGAGTTCATGAAGGCAGTAAGATTGGTTTGGTTTGTATCTTTTTTTCTTTCTGCATGCACTCTTTTCATTCCTTTTGAGATGTTCCCCCTTATGTGCATCGTCAAGGGTTGGCCTCTGTGAACGTGCATGTCCTTTCATGGCGTACGTGGCTGTCGCTGCTGTTGCCTCATCAAGTTCAATGCATTTTGGGGAAGTGTTGTGAAGTAAATGGCGCGGTATGATGTGTTTTTGATGAGTACTAATTTAGTGTGGAAGAGTTAGTCGAATCCATCATTAGTGATAGAGAGCTGTGATTGGCTCAGACCACTAAAGATTGGTCTATCATTAGTGAGTCGACTAACTCTCATTGGCTGAAATTTCACTAAAGACCCCCCCACCAGCATAAAACAAGAACCAAAAATGGCTCTTACAATATACAGGTGCAATTTTTAGTAACGTTTCCAACAAATTTAAAAAGACAATCAAGGAATAAAAGATACAGAATTTCCCATAGTGACAAGCACCTGGAAAGGAAGCCACCTCATATCTGTACCGCAGATCACTTCTGGCGAAATCGAGACAGTTGTAGAGGTTGCAAAGTGGTGAAATGGGATCTTAACAGATAAAAGAACAGTCGAACATGTCGGACAGTGAAGTCGGACATTCGTGATATC